TCGTCTCCAAATATGCATGTTTTAGTGATGAAAATAAGATTTCGTCTCCAATTGTATTATTTTTAGAGACGAAAATCAAATTTCGTCACCAAATGCTTAAAATCAATAAAAAATAAAATTGAACCATAGATATCTCTCTCTGTCACTCTGTCACTCCCTCACCCATATATCTCCGTCACACCGTCCGTTCATCTTTATCGCATCGGTCAACCCGCACGTCACCAGCTGGCGCTCTCTCTCTCTCTCTCGCGGTCTGTTTTCGCCTCACTCTCTCTCTCCTGCCCTCTTCTCGCTTTTCTGAGCTCCCTCTTCCCTCTTCTCACTTTTCCAAGCTCCGAGTGGCGTCGAAATTTTAAAATTTTTGGTGAGAAAAAAATTTGTCATTAATTATAAATTATTAGTGGGGAATATATTTTTGTCACCATTAATTTTACATTTAAAAAAAAAAACTTGATTTTAAATATTTTAAGATTATTTGGTGAGAAATATATTTCCGTTACTAATAATTTTTAATATTTTGAGACCTTTTAGTGAGGAAATTATTTTGTCACTAATTTTGGAAGGAAAATTTTGACAAATTGGATTGTAATGAAAAAAAATAGACTACTAATTTTTTCCTCCTTTTTTTTTTGTGTGTGTGTGTTTATCAATTTTCCTTTTATATCTCTCTCTCACTACAACAAATTGCAAATTTGGTAACTAAAAAATTTCATAAAATACCTAAATTTATTTTTTGGTGGGAATACTTTCACATTACTACCCAATTATAATTTATTTTTATTTTTTTTCATTTTTTTCTATGTCTTTACATGCACCCAAAATTAAGCGCCAAATTTTTTTGATTTAGCGCCTAAATTGAATAATATCAAAATTTCAGTCCAGACTTGTCATCTCCTCGATTAGAACTTTGTGCCCTAATCTATCTGTAGTTCCTTCACAAAGCTGTAACAGAGAACCATCGTCAGTTCATACTCCACCGTGAGGACGGTTCATCCACCACCGTGAGTTCATCCTCCATTGTCAGGACGGTTCGTCCTCCACACCATGAGTTCATCCTGCACCGACATCAAGCTACAGCACAACCGTGAGTTCCAGGTCAGTTTGTTGTCTCTCTTTCTCTTTCTCTACCCCTCTCTCTCTGTTCAGGTCTCTGGGTTTCTCATTCTCTACCTTTCACTTTTCTGGATTTTAATTTGGGAAAAAAATATATAAAATAGAATGATTAACATGTTCTGTATTCTAATTATGATATTCATATTCTACCCAATATAATCATTGAAGTGAATGAATTGTTGGTGATTCTACACAGTAAAGTCTCATGCTTCTTATTATGGGTCTACTAGGTGTTTGATAAAATGCCACAATGGCTAATTTTTTCTTAATTGTTTTGTTTATTATTTTATTTTATTTTTGTTGAGCAGCAGGATTACTAGACTTGAGCGTCTAAGTTGGCCAAAATTTTCTGATCTATATCCAATGGAAAAATGATGTCTTTATGTGTAACGATGTATGTTTGATTGGTACACATTTTTTTTATACCATGCAATGAAGAACCATAACTATATAAAGTATAAGGGAGAAAATAAAGTTGAATTAGGATATACTCCTCTCTTCTTTGTTAGGTATTTCTGTTGGGTAGGTGTTCAATATTAGATGTACCGGTAACCTCACATCTTTATCATTGGTGTATCATATGTGTCTAAGGTGCATTAGATGCTTTTGTGACCATGTAACATAGTTGAGTTTGATCTTGTGAAGTGTTTTTTAATAACTCGGTATTTGGCCCATTGATCTTATGAAGTGTTTATGTTATACTAGTTTGATTGCTAATCGAACTTCTTGTTTCTATTTTTCAAATTAGTCATATTAGGAAGCATTTATTTGACATGGCTCAAGCTCCTACATGGTGAGGTGACTGGGTGGATAGGTCACCAGCTAAACTACCAGACCAACTGATCAGAATGCACAAATTTAAGTTAATTAGGTGAATATAAACAAAAATGCATTTGAAAAATAATTAAGAAATGTAAATTGATATATATTTGAAAAAATATAGCAATTCAAATTCATCATTAGTCAATCAATGTGAACATTCACAGATTATGAAGTGTGTTATATTTCAGTCTACATGTAATTGTTTATTTTCATATATATTGTATTTTGCATTTGCGACATGTAAAAAGTTGACATTATTATTCTATTATGATAGTTCATAAAAATGCCAATTATTTCTCTTACTTAAAATTAGAGATAATAACTAAAGAAAATGATATCCTTTGTAGCAGCAGATAGCATGGACCAGTGACTGGATACTTTACTTGCATATTAAAAATCTCTGGTTTCAGTAGGTTTATTTATGTAAAGTGAGGTTCACTGGGTGTAAACAATCCACTACCACTAGATCAAGAGTTAATACTAAGACTCAAGTAAACGACTTTACAACACAACCTAGATGTTGTTAGCCTTAACTTCTTCACCCATCAAATGTGCAAGTTTGATCTCCACTTGCAAGTGGCTTTGTTACCTTTTTCAGTTCTTGATCTCTGTTCTTTGTGGCTCCATTTGCATTTGGTCAGTTGGCTGGACTTCTTCACCCATCAAATATGCAAGTTCGATCTCCACTGACAAGTGGCTTTGTTACCCTCTTCTTGTCTTGATCTCTGTTATTTGTGGCTACAATTGCAATTAATCAGTTGATACTCCAAAACAGTCAATTTTAATAAGATTTCCATAACTTGTTGCAATCAATCAGTTTGATATTCCAAAACAGTCAATTTTAATAAGATTTCCATGACTTGTTGCAATCAATCCGTTGATACTCCAAAACAGTCAATTTTAATAAGATTTCCATGACTTGTGGTTGAATGCATAACTTAAATTGTCAAATTTTTCTAGAATCTGCAATCCTCTCAGGATAGAGGAAATTCACGGGCTGGTTGGTAATGTACCCTCTTCAAAGGCTGATTATGTACACTATGGATATATTATTCTTATATAATAATATTTGTTATTGGATCAATGTTTTTGTAATTTTGTTGGATTTATTTTGTGGATGTTTGTTATTGAATTTGGCCTTAGTTCGTGATTTGCTGTCTAATTTTTATCTCTTGTATCACTTATAAAAAAATGTTATCTTCAGTATCAATGTGTCATATTGATGGTTTGCCTCTTTTTGGTTTATTTGCTGCTTGGTATAATTTCGGAATTAAAAATGATTGAAAACAATGTGAGAAACTGGATTTGAGAAATAGGATACAATGATGCAAGGATCATGTGCATAGTGCATCATCCTCCCATTTCTAATTAGATAATGAGTGCATGTGTTGTTTGTGCTTGATGGAGCTTACTTAAAGCTACAATGAAAGAAGGATGTGCTGAAATTAGTGGACGACTGATGTGTGGCATGGCTGCAAGGTTGTTTCAAACAAAAGAAGGGTTATACTTTGTTTGGTTAGTGTAAACAGAATTACGTGATTTTGTGTCTACAAAACTTTTATGGCCTTCTGTGTGCTTGTTTTACATAGGATGTTAATGGTCATGGCTCATGTTAATTATTTGTTACCACCTGGTCAAACCCCAAAGTGCGCATGGCAGGGTTCTAAATTATATGGTGGACATCAATTATTGTTTGCACTGTAGGTGGTTGATGCACTAACATGACAAATCTTAGAAAAGTAGGACACGACACAGCAAGGACACCACAACATATAAGATATTTATGTTTTTTTTTGTGTGCATATTGTATAAGAAAATATGTAGTTTAATTTATATATATATATATTTTAATAAAAATTGCAAACTGTGGAGAACAAGATCTACAAATATCATATATATAATGATGCACATTCCTATTGTTTGTGTTCTTACTACAGTTCTCTTTTTAATTAATCTTTATCTATATTTTTTCATTTGTTTGAAGTTTATTGCATACTTTATGTTGATCATGCACATGATGTATTCTTTTTTCAAAAGTTTTAAGTCGTGTTTGGGGTGTGTAAGTTGCTTTTCCAAGGATGAATGAATGTTATTACTGTTGAGAGATTCATCACATAAGTCATATCCATGAAGTGTCATCGAAGTGTTTAAAATAATGAATTTTCATTTTAAAATTTGGACTGTTGAAGAAGTGTTGGACATGTTTCTAGGAGTGTCCAACAAGTGTCTGATGTCCAACACGTAGGTCATTGGCACAGGCCTCATGGTTCCTCTCTAGAAGTGTCCAACAAGTGTCTGATGTCCATCCTTTATTGGACAAATCACACTTGTCACCCCTAAGTTTGATCTAAATATTGCTTTGGTCACTCTAATATCTAGTTTAATTTGTAACAATGTTATCCTTGTAGCTCTTTTCATTTTGCAATGGTGACCATTGACCACCAATCTGTGGTCACAAACGGGAATAATGAAGTCGCCAGTTTTCCCTTATTTGAATGTAGTTTTGTTTCTTCTTCAACTAAACCTGTCATAACAACTAATTTGAATTAAGGATTTCAGGAGTTTGTGTTGAGGTTAGAGGGTGATTAGTGTAATTTACCCCTTTTTGCCTATCATCCCATAAATTACTTTTCTCATTTTTGGTGCTGTGGTTCCTCATTAGTATTAGCAGTGCATGAAGCATGAAGGTGATGTTGCGATTGAGATGTTTTAGTTATGTAGTGTTTGGTTCACTAGAATGGAATGGAATGGACATTCCTTAGTCTTTCTGTGGAATGACTGAATGATTCCATTTGTAATGCATTGTTTTCACCAATTTTTTTAGTGAACCAAATGTGAGAATGAACATTAAGAAGGAATTATCATTCCATTCCTTTTGATTCCAGTGAACGAAATAGAGCATTAGAGTTTGAGAAAATCATGAATTCATTGCATCTTGTATATTGGGGGGGTTGCTCAAACCAATTGTTAGTTGAGTATTTGACTATGACAAAAGAACTATCAACGTTATGTTCTTGATTCTTGAGGAGGTGGAATTTATTTACAAATTACATATGATTTTATTCCATATGATACATTTATATTCAGATTGGACATTTTTGTTTGTTGAACTTCATTGTACTTGTTTTTTTTTCCCTCTTTATGCCCCCTTCCCTCCCTCCCTTATTATGTTACTTGGAGCATCTTTTGAATCGGTTCTTGTTCTACCTACTTGCCTCTGATGCATTTGGTTTTACTTGGCATATGCAGCACTTCGGGGTGCCCATTTGGCGAGGGATGCCATTTCCTGCATTACGTTCCTGGTGGCATTAAAACCGTGACCCAGATGCTTGGCAACAACCCCGCTGATCCAACAGCTGCCAGAAATCCGGCTCCCCCACCGTCCTTTCCAGATGGTTCATCTCCTCCAGCTGTCAAGACCCGTATGTGCAACAAATACAACACAGCCGAAGGTTGCAAGTTTGGCGACAAATGCCATTTTGCACACGGTGAGTGGGAGCTTGGCAAGCCATCATCAATTCCACACCACCATGAAGATCCTCGTGGCATGGGAGGAGGACCAATGGGAGGCAGGTTTGGTGGTGGCCGGATGGAGCCACAGGCACCGCCAGGTCTTGCAGCCAGCTTTGGAGCCTCTGCCACGGCCAAGATCAGTGTTGATGCTTCGCTTGCCGGTGCCATCATCGGAAAAAGTGGTGTGAACTCGAAGCAAATTTGCCGCCTGACAGGAGCCAAGCTTTCGATAAGAGAGCACGAGTCAGATCCTAACCTAAGGAACATTGAGCTGGAAGGTACATTTGATCAGATCAAGCAAGCCAGCGCAATGGTTCGTGAACTTATCGTGAACATTGGTTCAGCCTCTGGACCACCTCCGATGAAGAACCATGGCATGCCAGGCTCGGGTCCTGCAGGAGGAAACTTCAAGACAAAAATTTGTGATAACTTTATCAAAGGATCTTGTACCTTTGGAGAAAGGTGCCACTTTGCTCATGGTGCTGATGAGTTGCGCAGGTCGGGATGAGCTTTTTTTCTTTTCTTTTCTTAAACATGGTGCTTTGATATTCTTTTTCCTGTTTTCTTACGATGGACTCTCTTATTATGGCCTCTAGTTTTGTTGGTTTGTTGTTTTGGCTTTTTTGTTATTTTAAGGTAGACTAAAGATGCAGTATGAAAGTTCTTCTAGCGTTTTAAGTATTTTTGGATGCAAATGAGCTTTTTGGGTTTTTCATTTGTTCTTTACTTTTTAACTGCAATTTGTGGTAATGGGAATGAGCTGTGTTTTTTGAGTTTGTTGATGCTGCTGAAGTATGTTTGTTTGTGAAGGCTGCATTTTAGGCTGCTGAGTGCATCACTCTCTGTCATGTGCATGGATTTCAAACTGTAACTACTGAAAACAGTACTAGGGATGATTGTGGAAATGGAGGGATTTCTATTGAAGAGATTTATAAAATGTAGTAATTAAGGGTCGGTACAGGTACATAAACTGCTTGAATTATTGACCCTTCTTTTGAAGTAATTCCCTCATTTGGCATTTGGTTAAAACAGTTAAAAAAATCAAGAAGTTATTATAAATTACTTTTTTTCTTTTTTTTTTCTTTTTTTTTCAGAAATATAAAATCAATCAAAATGTTAGGATGGTTGAAAGAAAGGGAAAATTGTGTATTTATATTATTGAGTTAAATAAATCAGGAGAAATCTGTATTTATAGGCTGAAAAAAAAAAAAAAAAACTTAGATAAGTATTGAAAGAGAAAGAGGTAGAGATACAAGAAGAAAGAGATAAGATATATCTACAATATAATGTTAATACACATTAACAGCCCCCTCCTCAAGTTCGAGGTAGGTAAGCATCAACTAACTTAAGGTTGGAAATTGGATCACTGAAACGACCAGAATGATGAGCCTTGGTGACAATATCAACAAGTTTGATCAGCAGTAAAAATAGGAAGAAGGTGAACAGTTAAGATATATCTACAATATAATTTAATACACATTAACAGCCCCCTCCTCAAGTTCGAGGTAGGTAAGCATCAACTAACTTAAGGTTGGAAATTGGATCACTGAAACGACCAGAATGATGAGCCTTGGTGACAATATCAACAAGTTTGATCAGCAGTAAAAATAGGAAGAAGGTGAACAGTGCCACGAGTAACATGTTGTCAAATGAAATGACAATTAATTTTAATATATTTAGTGGGATCATAGAAGACATTATTGTGAGCAATCTGAATGGCGCTCTAATTGTCACAATAAAAAGAGGTAGCACCAAGTGAAACACTCATATCAGCAAGGAGTCAGCGAAGCTACAAAAGTTCCTGAGTAATGTCAGCAAAAGAGCGGTATTCAGCTTCAGTACTAAAGCGAGCAGTGAGGGACTGTTCTTTGCTGTGCCAAGTAATGATCTGGTAGTTTTTACTATCCTAGTCTTCTAAATGGTCTTCATATTTAGCAGCAGTTTCAGCGACCTCTTTCACTGGTTTGGTCACATCTCCGATGATAATACGTCAGAGTTTCATACCTTTGAGAAAGAAAGACATGGCTTGGCCCACAGAACATAATTAGATCTATCCAGAAGAAGAGAAATTGGATGTGAGGCATCATGGCGATCCATAATAATATTGGGAGAGGTCTAAATAAATAGGCACAAACCTCTATGAGCAAAATCAGGTAAAACACATCGTACTAGTGACTTCGGAAGGTCAAAAATAGCTAGGAAAAGGGGTATGCGGTGCAGGGATAATGTCAGCAGAAGGGTGGATGACGTCAGCAGAGGGGTATGGCGCATAATAGCAGAATGAGGCGTGGCGCACAGTAGCAGACTAGCGCACGCGTGACGCACAGTAGCAGGAACGGCGCACACGCTGCGCAGGGCTGACGTCAAGTGCTGATATGAGCAAGCAACTGAAAGGCGCATGAGGGCACATGGGAGAGTGGCGACAGAAAACTGAAACGCACTAAGCATAGGAACGGCGCATGAGGGCGCGTTGAGTATTTTCTGGTGACGTGGTCGATGCTGTTGGAATCACGAGAAGATTCTGATTAGTTTGGTGGTAAAGAAAAAAAAAATTGGTAAAAATAACGATGAAGCAGTGTTGGAACAGAGATAATAAAATGTATGGGTGATGGAATTAATGCTATAGTGTCACTGTGTACGGGACTAAAACACAAAGAAAAAAGACAAAAGGCTATAAGTGTATGGGTGATGAAATGAATGTTGTAGTGCCACTGTCTGCGGAACTAAATACAAATAGAAAAGAAAAAAAAAACTATAAGTGTAGAACCTAAAACTCTGATATCATGTTAGAATTGTTGAAAGAAAGGGAAAATTGTGTATCTGTATTATTGAATTGAACAAATCATACAATAGGAGAAACTTGTATTTATAGGTTGAAAAAAAACCTAGATAAATATAGAAGGAGATAGAGATATAAGGAGATAGAGATGAGATATATCTACAATATAAAGCTAATATACATTAACACAAAAAGTTTTTTTTTTGTACGTCTTTTTGGATTGTTTTGAAAAGTTGGGTAAAAATTGATTTTTTAATTTTTTTTGTTGAAAAGATGTTTAAAAAAATAGAAAGGCGATGCAGCTCAAAATAAATTAAAAGTCAAATTCCAAATTAGGCCTTTATAGGGTGAATTGACAAAGTGTCAAGGGTGGTACAAGTAAACTCTGGTATGAAAGAAGTGTTCAGTATGTTTGATTTTAATCTTTTAAATTTAATTTTTTAAAAATTAATTTTTTTTGTTTTTTGAGTGTTTTTTTATTAAAAAAAAATAGTGAATATTTTAAAATTTTAATTATTTTTTTATTTGTTTAGATGTATTTAAAAAGTAAATATTTGTATAAAAAAAAATTTAAAAAATCAATAAACACATAAGAATACAAAAATGTATTGAATTTAATTTTTTTTAATATTTTTTATATTTAGTGAATTTTCTAAAAAGAAATACACAAATATTATACTTTTTAAATGTGTTTATGTTAGGTGTATCTAAAAATTTTAAAAAATAAAATTGCTTAAAATATTTAAAAAATTCAATAAATAAAACGAAAAATAAAAATTTTAATTTTCAGAAAAGTGATTCTTAAATATTTTCATATAATTATTTTGACATTGTTATTTCAAATTCATTCTAACTACTCTCAAAATTCAAATATTGAAATCTAATTTCAAATATTCTCCTATAAATAAATAGTGTCAAATCCTTTAATTACAAATACAAAGTTAATCATGTCGTTAATTTTAGGAGAAATTATAAATACACTCCTTAAGATTTGTTTAAAATACGAATTGTCCATTGTAGTTTAGAAAATTACAAATACCTCTCTGTCAAATTTTTTTATTTAATTGAATTAATTTAAAAAGTGAAATTTTTAACTATTCACCTATATAATAATAAAATTATCTGAATTATTAATTAAAATAAAATTGTAACATTATTAAAAATTATTAATTAACTTGATATTTTATTAATAAAAGAACTTTTTCCGATCTAGGTACACTTTCCAATCTTAATTTCTCTTCCTTCCCTCGTCTCCTCAGCCTTAAGGGGATCAATTTTACACTTCTATTAATGTGAATGTTAATATGTCAATGTGAATATTCACATTGTCAACGGGCCGAGCCTGCCCCGGCTCGCGGCCGGGTTTCGGCCCGCCCACGGGCCAATTTTACATTCCTACCAATATGAATTTTAAAATATGAATGTTCACATTATTAAATTGCTAATCATTCAAAAAATATTTATAAGGGTATCAAAATTAAATATAAGTGCATAAGTGTCCAAGAAAATAGTGTAAATCAAGAAAATAGACTTTACGGAATAAAACTATACATACATGGGACTAAATGGGTTAAAAAATTCCTTCATGGACTTCTTGGGTTAAAATATTTTTAAATTGGACTTATCAATAAAAATCCCTTTCTTAAAGCTTAAGAAAATATCTGTAATTTTACTAAATTTCGAAGGGTATATGTAATTTGTCCTAAAATAAAAGAAGGGAGGGAGGGTAGTGGTGAGAAGACCCATTTCCGCTTCCTATAAATGTACTTGATTGGTTCGGGTTAACCCCCCGTTTTGCAGTCTTCGTTATCGGAAAGGCGGTGGAACCTGATCGAATCCTCAACCAAGCAAACGCACAAACAAATTCTCTCTTTTCCTTCTCTCTTCCATTCCTAGGGTTTGGATTGGATTCGTTCAGAGCTCTCATGATATCAACCAAAACTGTGAATATACCTAAATCACTCTCAGTTGCTGAGAATTTTCTTTGAATGGCGCATAGGTTTCTCAGAGATCTCCAAGCCGATGGTTGGGAACGCTCCGACTTCCCTATCATTTGCGAGTCCTGCCTCGGCGACAATCCTTACATTCGAATGGTATCTACACCATCTCTTCTTCTTCTTCTTCTTCTTCTTCTTCTTCTTCTTCTTCTTCTTCTTCTTCTTCTTTTATCAATTTCAAACCCTAATTTTGAATTACTTGATTTGGAATTGGATGGAAGACAAAAGCGGATTACGATAAGGAGTGCAAGATATGCACAAGGCCATTCACGGTGTTCAGATGGAGGCCAGGTCGGGATGCGAGGTATAAGAAATCAGAGATATGCCAAACTTGCAGTAAGTTGAAAAATGTTTGTCAGGTTTGTCTTTTGGATCTCGAATATGGTTTGCCTGTTCAGGTTCGCGATACCTCTCTTCATATCAATTCCAACGATGCCATTCCCAAGAGTGATGTAAATCGGGAGTACTTTGCTGAGGAGCATGATCGCAGGGTATGTTTCTTTCCTTTACAAATTTTATTGATTATTTACTACTATGTTGCCAAGAAAATGTGGCTTTGTAGAATTTTCTGCACAAGAGGAATTTGTAGTGTGTTTCTGGGCTAATTAGGTTGTTAGACTACTACTATTGTGATTGCTTTGTATAATAATTTGTGTCAAATACTAATAAGAGCCCCCGATTCATTGTTTTAATATCGAGATTTGTGTAAAAAGTGCTTTGAAAATAGAGAAAATGTTGAAGAAAGTTTTAAATTCAATGAAAAGTTTAGCACTCTATTTGGATTGAGGGGTTTGGTGAGGAAAAAAGAAAAGAAAAGAAATGAAGAGAATGATTTCTCATCACTTGATTGGATGATTAATTGGGTGAGTAATGCTGATGAGAAATGGTGGGAAAGACAAATGACACTAAACTTAAGTTTTGTTTCTCACCAAAAGTGGCGAGAAACCAAAAATACTCTTTATAAATAAATTATAATACCTGAACTACCCTCTAAATACAACGCAAATAAAATAAAAGACACATATATATCATCTTTTAATCATAGTCCATCCAAACAAGAAGGTGAGAAATCACAATATTTTCTTTTCTTTTCTCGTCTCTTGATCCAAACGTATGTTAGTAAAAAATGTCTTGTATAATCATTATTTATTTATTTTTTGTTCTAGGGGAACTTGTTAGCAGGACCCATAATCTGTTGAGAAAATAGAATGCCTCTTTTTTGGACAAGATATTACAAAAGCTTAGGTAATGTACCTATCCCAGAATTTAGTAGCTGCAGATGCATGTACAGCACCAACTGCGTCCTAAGTCTACATGACATAAATTGTAGACATTTTTAAAAAGGTTTGATTTCATGTGAAATCTTTTTATGGGGTTATGTTGAGTAATAGAAGGGTGAATTTTCTATATAGCACCTCTAGTAGTTATTTATATTTTGTCTCCTTGTTTTTTTTGGCTAAGGGAGAATTTTCTTGTAGATGCTTAGCTGCGATACTTTTTGGTCTCTTGCTTTTTGTATGCATCTTGTGTACAAACTATGCCCATTTTTGTGGCGTTTGATTTATGAATTTTAGTTATATATAAAAAAATATGCTCGCTACATTTTGAGATACGCTTGTTGGCTAAGTTTTAAATTTATGGTTCTGACTACCGAATCTCTTTTTTCTTCTCTTCTTCCTTCACTTATGTTCTCTCCCTATATACCATCTCTTTCCTTGCCTTCTATAAAAAAGACTACAACTTTTTCTGACTCAATTGTCCGGGAGTTGCCTTTGCATCTATGGTGGGATAATTGATTCATTTCTGATATGGTTACAAAAGTATTCTCCGCATGTTGTGATGGTTTTCTTTTTCTTCTTTTTATGGTTTTTGATTGTTAGGACTTTGATGAAAAAAATCTAAGAACCGACACTTTTATAAAGATGACATGTAAGTTGAACACCAACACAACACTCATGGAACACAATAAGACATTCACGAGACACTTCTCAACACTTGTTAGGCACACCTTCAAACATGTCCCCACTATTCGAAAAAAAAAAAAATAGACACACACTTTGGAAGTGTGGGGAAAGACATGACTATCACTTAGACACATTAAATACATTATAAGTTTGAATAAAATAACTTAGAATTCAATACTAAAAGAAAAACAATGTAAGTTTATACCTATTATCCTCTTTTAGAATTTAAATTACTATTATATTGCATTTTGTTATTGTTTTTGAATTAAATATTCACATACATGATATATATTAAACGCTTATCATTGTATATGGCATAAATTTAAAACTATATAGTTTGCACTTGTCCCCCATGTGTAGTATCCTACATTTTTTTAAAATTACCTTCTTGATGTGTTCGTTTCGTTTCATGTGGTTGTGTCCATGCTTTTTAAGAAAAAAATAATACCTTGTATTATGTGACTTTTGAAATTGAGATTCAATGTTAGTTTGGAAAAGTAAATGACATTTGTTTTGAATAAGAAATGTGAAAACTGCATGTGTTCTCAGATGTGTTTTGGAATTTTCTTTTTTAATTCCCTTTTTGGGGATAATCTGATAGATGTCTTTATCACTTGTGTCTTCTGTTCTGGCAGATTACTGTGAGTATTTAATGTAATTGTCACTATATGCAGGCAAGAGCTGGTATAGATTACGAATCCTCATATGGAAAGGTACGACCAAGTGATACCATTTTAAAGCTTCAAAGAACAATGCCATATTACAAGAGAAATCGAGCACATGTTTGCAGTTTTTATGTGCGTGGTGAATGCACAAGAGGTGCTGAGTGCCCTTACAGGCATGAGATGCCTGTTACTGGGGAGTTGTCACAGCAAAATATTAAAGATCGTTACTATGGGTATGCAGATGGTTGACAGTTTCCTTCACATAATGTCTACATCTTTTTTTTCATCAAATTTTATGGACACGAGACTGACCACCATAAATATCCCCAACTGCTTGGGGTTGGTGCAATTAATATTTTCTTCATTTATATTTTGATCTAGGGCCATTTCTGTTTAATGCACTGGATGTGTGAATAGCATATACATGTATATAGGTTGATAGACATGTAGACATAGATGCGAAGCATGCTAAACAATGAAAGGGAAACTCCAGAATTTTGCATGGACAGTTCTTACAACTTTGTCTAATCTAGTCTTGGTAAATTTTGGGCCTTATTTTATGATTTCTATAGGACTCTTCTAGATGCATGAAGTTCTATTACTGGACATGTGACAGTTGGATGAGCGATGTGTGTGTCCGACAAGTCTTTTTGAGTAAAAATTTAGGCCTTTTCAAGTGGATTTGCAATTTTAAGCTGTAGCTAATTGTGTTGTGTCAAACCCAGTGATGAAAGATCCATTGAATAATTTCTGACCTAAGTAGTTTATAAGGCTATTGAATCAGCTCCTGAGGGAAAAATATGTTATTTTGCTCTGATTTGGGATCTTTAAGTCTTATTGGAACATATAATGTACGAAGGTCTAGAGTTGGTTAGGGACCTCGGGGATTTGATTGGTTGGAGTTTTGGGTATAGAAAAATTGGTTTTGAGGGCTGTTTAGACATAACAGTGTTGGAGCATCCCAATAGTAGTGCCCTGCGTCAGTCTTTTAGCCAGAGAAACCCAACTGGTTGAAGTTCACATTCTTCCCTAACTACCAACTGGTTGAACTTCAGTTTTGGAGAGAGATAATAAAACCTGCCTTCAGAAAACCGTTTTCAATATTACTCTTCACCATCAGGCTTTGTTTAGAGCTTGCATGAGGTGTTTGACACGTTTTTCTACATCACTGTCTCAGAAGTCTTTCGAGTTTTATGAATAACATCGTGTAGACACTGGAAAGCCCAATTTACTGCCACATTTGTGTGGTTTGATGCTGCTACCATTTTTTGTGAATAAGCCTCAGTACAGTAATCCCTCTCTCTCTCACTCACAAACATATACTCGTGCTCAAGCACATACAAAAGTCAAAGATGTGCACTACAAAATGTTATCCATCTTTTTATCTCCTTTTTATTTTTGGTAGCATTTGCGTTACAGGGGAGAAACTGAATATTCTTTAATAGTCATTGGCTTTAAAGAGATTGATTATGATGTAGTTCATTATGAATAACCCTGTTAGAGGGGTATGGTGGAGATCTGAAGTTCAACGATCCTACCTTGTAGACATGTGATTCATAGACAATATATGTTAAGAACATATGGCTTGAAGCTGTTAAAGGGATTCATCATTCTCTCTTTACATCCTTGTACACACCTATGCTTATGCACCCGTGATACACAAATTTTCATGTCAATGACATCTATTTTTGATCTTTGCCAAATGCTGACAGAGTTAACGATCCCGTGGCAATGAAGCTTCTCAACAAGGCAGGTGAAATGCCTTCTCTGGAGGCCCCCGACGATGAGAGCATTAAAACCCTCTATGTGGGTGGGCTTGATGCAAGGATCACTGAGCAAGACCTAAGAGATAATTTCTATGCCCATGGGGAAATTGAATCAGTAAGGATTGTGCTTCAACGAGCTTGTGCTTTTGTAACCTACACAACCAGAGAAGGCGCAGAGAAAGCAGCCGAAGAACTCTCAAACAAGCTGGTCATAAAGGGGCTGAGGCTGAAGCTGATGTGGGGTAGGCCACAAGCACCAAAACCAGAGTCCGAAGTCTCAGACGAAGCAAGACAACAAGCGGTAACTCACAGTGGAATGTTGCCGAGGGCAGTTATATCGCAGCAGCAGAACCAACTACAGCCACCAGACTTTAAAGACCAAGCACCACCACCGATGCATTATTTCAATATTCCACCACCACCACCACCACCTCAGATGGAGAGAGCATATTATCCGTCGATGGATCCTCAGAGAATGGGTGCCCTAATTCAATCCAAAGAGGGGGCTTCTAGTGGGCCCACAGGGTCAGGTGAGAGTACAACTATGCCAGAGCAGGAGCAGCAGCAGCAGCAGCAAGGACCGCATTATGCTTACACCACCATGCCTCCACCACCTCAAGTTCAGTTTCATCAGCCATTTTATCCACCATATGGGTATATGCCGCCTCCCCCTCCATCGTATCAGCAATACCCACCTCCGCCTTATCGTTCTACAGTGCCACCTCTCCCACCCCCACCCCCACCCCAAGCGGTGGCCCAGCAGTATCAGCAAGGTGCACCACCGGGTTCATCACAGCAGTGATACTTTAATGACAATTGTGTTGGTAGCCTTCAGTTATGTGCTCCTCTTAACCCTGTCAAGGATTCCCTTGATTAGTTTGCTAAATACTAAATGGAAAAAAAAAGGGTATTGCATTTTGTTTGGACCTGTAAATTTTGTAGTTTTTCTTTATGTTGCAACAACTAGGACTTGTGTAGTAGGAGTTTTGAGCATGAGCTACGACCTGTAAATTTTGTAGTTTTTCTTTATGTTATGACCAACTATCACCATTATTTTTCACAAATCCAATGAAAAATTCAATAGATTTATCTATTTGTTATATATTATTTTATTATTGTTTGACTTTTCCAATGGAGACTTTTATTTCAATGCATGATGTCTTAATTAACTCATAATTAAAGTTAAAATCAATGTTTGTATTTCTTTAGTAAATTTGCATTTAAATATTTTCCTTTTTGAGTATTTTTTGATTTGAAATAAATATACTCCCTCCGTCCCAAAATATTAGTCCCTTATTCTATTTTTCATTGTCCCAAAATATTAGTCCCTTTTCAAAAATCAAGTACAAAAATAATATAAATTTCCTATTTTACCCTTCTTTTAAATTAATAAACAACATAAAAAGTACAATTATGCATTGATATTCCCAAAAAATGTACTATCAAAAGGATAATTTTGGAAAATCAACTTTTTTCAAATGCAATAATTGTACTACCAAAAAAAGTTAGATTCCCCAAAAGGGACTATTATTTTGGGACGGAGGGAGTATGTTATATTTTAGGGGGATTTTTTTTAAGGTCCCTGATATTAAGAATTTATAGTATAAAGGACACTCAATATTTTCATAATGTCTAAGGTCCTTCAACATCAATCCAGAGAAAATTCGATCCAGAGAATTTCTCTGGACTTTCCAGAGAAATTCTCTCCAGACATCCAGAGAAATTCTCTTTATCCAGAGAAAATTCAGATAGTCCAGAGAAAATTTAGACATCCAGAGAAAATTCAGATAGTTCAGAGAAAATTCACACAATCCAGGAAACTCTGCATCATCGTGCATTTTATATGTTCTCTTACAAATATCTTTTCATGAAGGGTTACTATCAAAATTCTGTTTGCTAATCCTAGTGCTCTTTGTAGATCAAGTTCAACAAGATGAGGTGGTTGACAGTAAGATTTTGCCATACCTTAGCATAGATAAGAAAGAGAAGAAGTCATTCCCTAGACTTCCAGAGAAAATTCAACTTCAAAGAGAAAATTGGTCCAGAGAAATTCAGGGAAGAATTTCTCTGGACTTTCTAATTTCTCTAACATTCCCTAGAATTCCCACTGTAAATTTCTTTGGCCTTCCATTCTCTCCAGAGAAATTTCCCTTCTCTCTAGAGAAATTGTAATGTGCTTCATTTTGTTTGAATATGTTATATTGTTGATATTGATTCAGAATTTCTACAATTTGTTTGGGAAATTCCTATCATTTTCTTTGAATGAATTCAATAAATTTTTGTTGTACTTATCTACAAATTTTTCAGGGTATATCTATCCTTACCTAATTCTAATGGAGAGTGGGAAATATACAGAAGGCCAGAAAAAAAAATTTCTCTGGAGAGAAGGGAAGACCAGAGAAATTTGCAATGGAAAGTCTAGGGAAGGTAAGTCCCTGCACCAATTTTCTCTGTGAAGTTGAATTTAGCAAAATCAACAATTATTACCAACTCTACAACCTGAATTCTGTAGAATCAAATATCAAATTTCACAGAGAATTCTCTGTGAACTTCATAGAGAATTCTGGTTCACAGAGAATTTCTCTGGTGACTTCACAGAAAAATTTTCAAATTTCTCTGACTAAATCACATACTCATCTCTGTGATTTTCTCTAGCCATCTAGAGAAAATTTCTCTGGCCTTCCCTTCTCTCCAGAGAAATTTCTCTTCTCCAAACCCAAAGAAATTCACTTAAACCAAATAAATTTCCCAAACCCAGAGAAATTCGCAAAGAGATGGAAAAGTCAGTGTATACGCAAAGTGCTTTCAATTTTCAGAGCTTTCAGGGTTTTTAAAGTAAGAACTTCTCAGATTCACACTCTCAATTTGTCCCTTTCTTGTTTATAGGAAATGAGTTTGCTAAAAATGAGGCCAAGGGTCTAAAATTGGCATGGGTTTGTATATAGAGACTCTGTCTTGTTCTCGGTTTGTCTCTAAAATGTTTTTCAATCTCGTTTATAGTGGTGGAGGAGTGAGAGATTCGTAGATTCGAAGAATGAGGTTCGGTGGATGATGGACTTATGGGACGCCATACTGGAGTTGGACAGAGTCGATACATGTGGGGGAGAATATGTCTGATTACAATAGAAGATTTCTTCGATGATCTGATCCGAGAGGCTGCCAAGAAGACAGAAGGCTTCTCAGGTCGAGAGATAGCGAAACTAATGGCCAGTGTTCAAGCAATCGTGTATGGACGCCTGGCAGCGGCAGTAGGTTCATTGATGATACGGATCACATTGAGTCCAGCAATAACACCATCATCCTTTGTTGCCTGACGTTGAGAATCATTGAAGTAGGCAGCCTCCATGTCTGTTCAACAGCTCTGCAATGCAACTATGGCGCTCTCTCTCTCTAGATTCTCTCTCTAAAATGAGGTTCGGTGGATGATGGACTTCTGGGACGCCATACTGGAGTTGGGCAAAGTCAATACATGTGGGGGTGAATATGTCTGATAACAATCGAAGATTTCTTCGATAATCTGATCCGAGAGGCTGCCAAGAAGGAGCGGCAGTGGGTTCATTGATGATACGCATTACATTGAGTCCAGCAATTACACCATCATCGTTTGCTGCCTCACGTTGAGAATCATTGAAGTAGGCAGCCTCCATGTCTGTTCAACAGATCTGCAATGCAACTATGGCGCTCTCTCTCACTAGATTCTCTCTCTAGAATGGAGAGACAAATCATCGAATTGGTTTATGGAGGTTTGAATGGTGAGGGATATGAAATTTCTCTATAGGGACCTTAGACATCATAATATAATTTTGTGGACCTCTTCCATTACGAAAAGTGGGAGAGGGACCCTAGACTGATTTTCCCTATATTTTATCACTATTTATTTTGAAATGAATATCACTAGTAATAGAGAGAATTCGAATCGGAATTACCTAGTAAGTTATAGATTTATAACATGAGATGAAGTTATGAGTGTACACATTCTTTGTTTATCATTCAAAAATTAAAAATTACATGAAAAACTATCATGGGTCTCTAGCTGTTGTTTTTAATCTTTATTATTTAACAGATGTGGCTCTTGTTTTTCTTGTTCTTAATCTTTATCTAGATAATTGAAAATTTCCACAATTTATAGATATTAATTAAATTCGGAATACATTAACAGTAGTTAGGATGTTTTAATGGTTAATCAGAGAGTTTACTCCTTAATTGCAAGATTAACGTTATTAGTCTTGCAGTTCAAAATATTCCACATATGCCATATTTGTTTCAGCTCTATAAGTAATTATTATTGGATTTTTATTTATTTATTTATTTTTTAATGGGTAGAAAAATGTGCTTCTTCGTCGCATCATTACAACTCTTAAGCTTCAGTGATTTAAGGCCGAATCTATACCAATCCAAAGGAAGGAACCTACTATCGGGATAAGCAGAGAATGCACTAACCCCCAATATAGAAGGCAGAATCACAAGCGAAGTATAGTGCAGTCAACTTCAACTAAATAAATGGGTCATTAGTTGTGCTTCCCTGAAATCGAGCTCTCGCCACCTGTGTGGAAGGCCAGCGCCTGTCCACGCTACCCTCACCCCCAGTGGTAATATTATTGGATTACTAAACTAATTTTATAAAATTAGAGGTGAAAAATTATTTTATTCTTATTTAATAAAAAAGTTAAATTTTATATCATATTTTTTTGTGATTTTATAATTTTTAAAACCAATTAATTAAATACAGTCATATTAGTGCATAAACAAATATAATTTTACATGCATACCTCTTTTGAGAAGTGGATTAAAAATCACTTATCAGTTTTTAACCCATTTTGGATTATATCATCTCTCTCATTTTTTACACATTTAAAAAAAAAATAAATATAAAAAATTTTAACCATATCCTCAAAACACCCTACAATTTCAACCCAATATTAATAATCACATCATTCAAATATGACGGTAGTTATTATAATTTATAATCAGAAATCCAAATGATTATCATTAAAGTTGAAAAAATATTAAAAAATATTATTTAATTTTATTTAATTTTTTATTTTTTATAAAATAAATTAAAATACGAAATTTTTTTATAATTTTAAAATTTAATGTCGTTTTGGGGAAAAATTTTCAAAAAAAAAAAAAGGCAGAGGAAGAGAGGGAGGAAGGAGAGGAAGAGGGAGGAAGGAGGAGGAGGAGGAAGGGAAGGGCCGGACTGGAGGGAGCCATAACCAGTGGGGGAGGAGGAGGAGGAGGCGGAGGCGGAAGCGGGGCCGGAGGCAGAGGCGACGGCGGTGCAGCTACTGCGACGAGCTGGATCGGGCAACGATCGGACGGCTGTGACGGCCGGCGGCGAGGCGACGAGCTGCGATAGCGAGCTCGCAACCTCCTCCCTCTTCCTTCCTCCCTCTTCTCCCTCTCCCCTCCCCTCTGGTTTCTGTTCGAAGAGAGAGAAAGCAAGAACAAAGAAGAAAAAAAAAAAAAACCAAAAAACCAAAAAACCTCCAAAACGACGTCGTTTTGGGAGGCTACCGGGTATGAATGTCGGATAGGGTGGCTGAGGATCCGGATTCTTTTTTTTTCTACATCTAAATATTTGAAAGTGGTAGCCGACTCTTGTCAAAGTAGGTCCCCTACCAAAATTAAAGCAAAAAAGTGAGCTCGGGAAAATCCAAGATCTCTCGTCCCGATGAATAAATGTTCTTGAAAATTATTAAATGCCCTTATTTAGTTCTCATAATTACTTAAATTGCCCCACCACTGTGTTAAAAACTGGCACGGTATAAAGCATGATTGCCCAACGAAAACGACGGGTTAAAGATAAAGTATCTTTGAGTTTTGGGCCTGTTCTAATGTTACCCTTGATTTTTATGAATAATTATTGGGAAAGACCATTGGAATTGCCTTGATTATGCAGATTTTGTGAGGGTATAATGGTCCATGGATTGTTTTAACGGCTAGTTTGTTTTGCTTTAGTTATATGTGGATTTGATGGGATATTTGTACCGGCCCGTGTGGTCTTTTTTTATTTCGAACTAACCGGTCCGAATTGCCCATGCTGTTTCCTAGTTTTTACATAACCAGCCCCTGATTACTCTTTGCTGGTGT